GCTTTTGTAAAATGATGGAAAGGATTTTGTTAAATAGGCTACTCTACCTTGTAGGTGATAACATGTCCAGTAATCTCTTTGGTTTTATCAAAGGCAAAAGTACTGCGGATTGTCTCTTAAAGTGTTTGTCTAATGTGGATGACAATTGTAGAGTTTTTGTTGATCTACAAGGAGCATTTGATAAAGCCAATGGGGAAGTAATCTTATACGAATTAGCCAATCTGGGAATAACAGGGAGATTGCTACACTGGATAAGGGATTATCTACAAGGCAGAAAAGGTCAGGTGTATTACCAGGGATACATGTCTGAGGAACGGAGGTTTCAGTTAGGTACCCCACAAGGGGGAGTATTAAGTCCCACCTTATTCAATGTATTAATGAACAGATTAGCATCAGAGATGTATCCTCCAGGGGTCACGACGATCATATATGCTGATGACATTCTTATACAAGGCACTTCTGGGAACAAAATTCAAGATGCTCTTAACATACTTGGTACAACCTGTCACAAGTTAGGCTTAGTTATAAATGCAGATAAAACCAAATACGAGTATAGGAAACGAAGAAATATAACACTTACTCTAAATGGTATGGAACTGAGCCGTGTACAGAAGTACAAGTATCTGGGCATGTATGTTGGATACACATGTGAGATTAAAATGCTGAAATAAATCATATCAGCACCTTATGTAAAGCCCGTCTGCATCCTCTAAAAGCACTGGCTTTTTCTGGTAAAGGTGTTGGGGTACCTATCTTGCGGATGCTATACATAAGCACTGTTCGATCCCTGATAGACTACGCAGCACCCGTATTGTCTTACACAGGCCAAGGCAGAATTCAAAAAATAGAGCTGATACAGAACGAGGCTATGAGGATTATTCTTGGATGTCAAAGAAATGCAATGATTGAAATAATGAGAATGGAATTAAATTTACAGAGTGTGTGTGATAGAGTCCGTGACATTAACACTAGAGTATCTATTCGTTTCATGCGGAGAAAAGGAGGGGATAAGCTGTTTGAGAGCGTTCAGACCTGCTTGAGTGACGTACACACTTCCAGGAAACTGAGGGAGACACGCTATACGAGAGGATTAGCTCATGACCTCAGGGAATACGACGTACTTGACTGCTGTAAACCCTCTCGACAGTGTAATATGTCTGCTCCCTGGAAAGTACAGAAAATAGACGTCGAAATTGTACCCCTCAAGGTGAAAAAGATTCATCATGAACCGGGACAATTACGGTGTTTGTATGGAAGCATGATATCTCAGTTACCAAGAGGCAACAGTTTACATGTATATTGCGACGGGTCGGTGGCGGAAGATGGCAGGGCAGGGTGTGGTGTCCTAATAAGGGATTATACGGAGTTTGGGACTGTGGACAGGATAATTGAACTCCGGCTTAGTAATTATATATCATCCACACAAGCTGAACTGCAGGCCATTCTGGCGTGTTTGGAGGAAGTACGTCATGACGACAAAAATGTTTTTGTATTTGTCGATAGCCGAGGAGCACTGGAGTCCTTAAACAGTCGAAACCCAGTCTTCATGTCTATAGTGGAGGACTGTAAGAGAAGAATAACTGAGATACAGCTGAAAGGCCATAGTGTGAAATTCATGTGGATTCCATCTCATGTTGGAATAGTGCTCAACGAGGTGGCGGATGACTTGGCCAAACGTGCCACATCAAAACCACAAGTTGACATTGAATGTGAATTCACAATGAGACAAATAAGAAGCAAAATCAGAAATATTCAGGCACAGGCGGGAGTGGAGAGGAGAGAGATAATGTATGAGAGTAGTCAAACCATGCAACACTACATGTATGTGAGTCAAAACACCCATTTCACTTATGGTAAAAGGAGAAATGCTTGGAGTGACTCTGTGTACATGCGGCTCAGGCTTGGGTACAAATATTACTGGGAATATGGGATAGATGTTCATGGTAATGACACGAAGTGTAAACTATGTGGTATGTTAAGGTCTCACACCCTTGCCCATTATATTCTTGATTGTCCGTCGATTAATGTATATAGAAACACTGAGATAAGGACTGTTCCTGAACAAATAGCCTGGATGTGTCACAACGGAAAGGTTGATGATATTCTTGAGAGATATAAGAATTTTGCACCAAGATTGTAATATTTTGTTGAATTATCTGCAGGTGTCTTGCAAATTGTCTATACAGTATACCTAGGTCATAAAAGTATTTGTGTGTACGTCTGATACCATACTACTTGTGAGGGAGGAAATGTATATTTTTACCTCTCAGAATGTTTGGTAATGTGTTTATTTGTGATGTGTGTCTATGTATATATTAACACGTTGTACTGAATGGGGTGAGAATAGCTTGAGCTACCTCATCCCTTTGTGTGTATTTTACCTCAATAAACTTATTTCAATTTCAATTTCAATTTCAATCTTTGGGGCTGGTCGCTTCGAGTGGCTCGTCTGCTGGATTCTCGGGGTTTGGCGTGCAGTTCATATCCGGGGAGTGACCAACCTCCTGGCTGATGGCCCGTCTCAGTTTATTCTCCTCTCCACACGGAATGGGCGATCGCTGCCAACTCCTTCCGTTGGCTCTGCAGGACGTACAGGTTCCTGGAGGTGGTCCTCTTTATGTAGCACCCTTCCCTGACCACGGAGCGTTTGCGGTGGATGCTTTTCAGCACTGGTTGAGATAGGGTTACCTGTTCCTCTTTTCCCAGTCCAGCTGTTGCTTCGAGTTCTCGCTCTGTTGGAGTCTTACCACGGGAGAGTTGTCTTTGTGCCCCTTGGTGGCCGGCCCAGCCTTGGTTTCCAGCGCTGCTTGCTCGGTGTCCACACCCGGGGCATTTTCCCTAGCTCCACCTCTTCCAGCAGATTGGACCGGTCTAGTACACGGCTGGTTTGGTCTTCACTTCTACTCTTTGCGTCTGGTCCTTTTGATGCAGGTTGTCGTTGATTGTCTTCTCTTTCTGATCGAGTTGTCTTGTCTTTTCTTGGCTTTTTCAGGACCATCATTTGATGCCGAATACTGTGCACGGATTAGCGGCGGGCAGAGTAGTGTGATGTTTGGTTGTTTGCTTGTTTCCTTGGGAATTGAGGGAGTTCTGCCTCTCTGTTCAGTTTCGGTTGCAATTTCTTACCATGTGGGTCTGTTCTGTTATGCCTACCTTTCTGGGTGCCTAACCCCAGTCGTTGGCAGATGAGGAAAACCCATTAACCACGGTGAGGGGAGGGTGTGTGTTTTCAGAGCCAGTGCTCCCTGTGCCTCTCTGAGGGGGCCAGGTAGGCTGAATTCTATTGACTAAAGCCCTAGTCTAATGTATCACATATTAGCCCAATAGCTCCAGGGAGCCTCCGGGGCTCACCCAGAAAATGGCGTGTCCTTATATTCAATGCTGGTTTTCTGTGGGGAGCCCCTACGGCTCCTTGGAGCTACATAACCAAAGATGGTGAATTTTGGTTATGTAAAAACTAGAACCAGATGACCCTGGTTTTTTGGGTTATAACTATAAATTTGGCATCAAAAAGATTCGCAAAAGAATTTGTAGTGAGCTGATGCAAAAACAAAATTGAGCTTATAATAGATTGTGTAACAGTGATGAATATATGAATGTTTATGAATAGCAGTCAGATGCATTCTAGTGTCATTAGAATGTTTACTATCGTAGTACCTATGGCACTAAAACGCATCGCTGGAACTTGAAAGTGTTAACACTATCGCGCGCGGCGCGTGAGCGCTGCAGACTTTGACGTCATGGGGTGGATGGTGCGGGCGAGCGTGCAGTGACGCCTAATTGTGTATACTCGTTTCAGTTTTCTCACCTTAATTCTCATGCTATGTCGTTCGTTTTGGTATCATTGTGTTCGCAATTAAATTCCCTGCAGGTGTATATGCATATACTGTACAGTAATGTCCAAAAGCCTGGCGAGACTCCCCACAGCAAAGCCTAAAGTCAGGAAAATTACCCGTGAGTGCACAAAATCAGTAAAATGTGCATACTCGTTTCAGTTTTCTCACCTTAATTCTCGTGCTACAGCGTTCGTTTTGGTATCATTATGTTCGCAATTAAATTCCCTGCAGGTGTATATGCATATAATGTCCAAAAGCCTGGCGAGACTTCTCGCAGCAAAGCCTACAGTTACCCGTGAACGAGCACCAATTTGCACACCACAACCTAATGTGTATACTCGTTCAGTTTGATAACATCAATTTTCGTGTTACATCGCTCGTTTTGGTGTCAAATTGTTCATAATATAAAGGTGCATTTTAAAACTAGTCTCATAATAATAGCACAATAAATAGAATTTTAACAAATATTTAAATTTTGGACGCTCATCATCACAATTATTTATATCTTTCCAGTGTTTTGACATCAATTTTCATGATATGTCGCTCGTTTTGGTATCAAATTGTTTGCAATCGAAAGGCGCACATTTTAAAACTAGACCCATAATAATAGCACAATAATAGAATTTTAACAAATATTTTAAAATTTAAAATTTAGACCCTAAAATGTATTTATAATCTTTCAAGTGTTCTGACATCAAGTTTCGTGTTACATCTTTCATTTTGGTATCAAATTGTGCGCATTCTAAAGGCGCTTATTTTGAAACTATGCCGAGGTCGATTGGATAAAAAATGAATTTTATACAAATATTTTTGGAGCGGATGTGAGTCCTGTCCACGGCAAGGACTCAAGAGAAAAAAAAGTGGACGTGATCGGTGTCCAAAGCGAGCGATAGTGTTAATAATAATTTTATAATTTCATTTGATTTGATAATGATAATTTCATTTGATTTGATAATGATAATTTCATTTGATTTGATAATGATAATTTCATTTGATTTGATAATGATAATTTCATTTGATTTGATAATGATAATTTCATTTGATTTGATAATGATAATTTAATTTGATTTGATAATTTTAATAATGTGATAATTTTAATAATTTGATTGTTACTTTTATCTAGAATATGCATGAATTTGATGTAGTGATTTTCTTTAATACCAGAGTGGAGATAATGTACCACCAGGCTATGAAGCAGTTTCCCTTATTGAAGCCCTCAATGGTCCATCTGTCGCACTGCAGCAACCCTCCGCTCCACCGGCACACGAGCTGTACGTCCAGCTGCCTCAGAATGCAACTGATGCACCATCCGAGTCTCTCATTCGTAATGAAGCATCAAGGTAACGTAAATACTGTATTTCTGTATGCCCTCGCCCAGCACACACACGACAAAATGACGACATTGTTGCAATGTTCAAACGAGTTTTAACACCTGACCAGTTGTAACAACCAGTATAGCATGTTGTAACAACATTCTAATACGTCGTAAAAATGTTATAACAAGATGTATCTAATTTATTACATGATGTATCTAATTTATTACATTTATTACAAGCGGAAATTTTTTTCGGAAGTTGTTGCAAGTGGTCTACGTCTATGTCCTTGACTCATAATTGAGGGACTCAATTTCAATCCTTTGGACAGGACAGAAAGAGTTGGGCGTGTTTCCTTTTACCCGATACCTATATTCACCTGGTTATAAATAGATACCCGGGATTAGGCAACTGTCGTGGCTTGCATCCTGGGGAGGGTCGGTGCTGTCATTGAGTTAGGATAAATGGATGTAGCCAAGTACAGGCTTCCTAGTTCCAACAAGGAGAACTAATTCTCTCATTAAGTATCACTTCCTGTTAGGGATGCAGCCCGTCCTCCAAAAATGGGGAGGTAAATGTACAAAGCCCCATAAGTGCAATTATGTACTATGTATAACAGTCTGGAAATGCACTTATTACACTTAGTATTAAAACGTACTGTCAATTCGGAGGATGGGTTGAGGGATGCCTGATAGATTTTGAAGGATGTTTTGTTTCATTGCCTTACCAGGAGTGTGCCTTTTTGTGTTGGCTTGAAGCTTTCAGCTGCCATGTATGTTGATACAAGGTAGGTATTGGCTTGTTAAACACCCTGGTGGCCGATCCTTGCAACGTGGGGTGTTACTATCTCGTCGGGCAATACTGACGTGATGTATCCATGACAACTATTATGCCCGTGGGTGGTATTGATCTCTCATCTCTGGACACCTCACAAACATAATTCTTATTGCTGGGGACAGGAAGCCTGTACTTAGGCTGATTTATGTCATTCCTAGGACAGCTACGGACCTTCCCCCACCATGCAGCCCACAAGAGTTGCCAAATTCCTGGGTACCTATTTACTACTAGGTGAACAGATGCATCAGGCATAAGGTTACCCCCTAGGCCAACTACTGACCTTTCCCAAGAGGGATCTCACAACAGTTATCTAACTACCAGGGTACATATGTACTACTGGGTGAACAGAGGCATTAGGTGTAAGGAAACAGGCCCACCATGAGTGTGTCACTTTACTGATGAAACAAAAAGGAAATATTATAGTAAAAGATGGTTACAGATGTGAATAAAATTTGCTTGTACACTTGGTATAGCATTGGTAAGCTGCATAATATTTCAGCTGTAATCTACAGAATTATCCCACTGATGTATAAGAGCAAATATACATTGATTGTCATGAACCTTACAAATATCTACACTCTCCCCCATCAACTGCTTCCTCCCAGACCTGTCATTTACCATTTCTTGTGCCTTGTTCGCTCATAATACTGTATATAGTTCCTCACATGCACATTCACCATGTTTGGCTAACTTCTTGCCCAACTTGCTCTCCTTCTCCGACCTGCAAATTCACTTGAATTCACTCTTCACTGGTCTGTCATCACTCATTCATTCAACATGCTCAGTCTTTGTATTAATTTACCAAGAAGAGGGCACCCATGTTGAATTTTCCTTCCTGTGTTTGATGGTATGTGATAACTGCCTACTATACTGTTTGCTAATGTTAGTGCTTTTCTTGATGATGAGTTTAGTACACCTGAAGTTTAAGTCGTTGCTGTTTGTTCCTGTGTGGCGGAAGCTTGCACCCCGTTTTGGAGGGTCTGCATTTGTTGTTGTCGTTCTTAATTAGTGGTCCAGGTGAAGCCTCTTCCTTTGTCTTGCCATCAGTCAGGGTCCTGGCAGAGGTATGGGTTTTGGTGGTGGTATTCAGTTGAGCCCGTGGCTCAAATTATTGGGTAACTGTTGGAGCAATCTTGTTTCAGGAATGTTCAACAAAGCTACCCTCATCAGTTCTGTCATCCCCCTCCATAGTATATCCAAGTGACATTGTGCAACCTGTCCTCCCACAAAGAACATAACTTTTTGCTTGTGTGCATTACACAAGGCCAAAAATTGTCATACTAGAAAATGGAAGTGGCTCGCAAAAGTGACGTACTGTCCTGATTTCTGTTTTGGGTCCTCTGGTAGATTAGGGGAGGACACCTGACCACTTTCTTGACGTTGGGGAAACCTTAGGAGGAGGATCTGAATTGTGATGTGGCGATGCCTGCAGACTTTTTTGGAACCTGAATAAGAAGATCTGGGCTTTTCGGATGTTTTCTCCAGGTTTTTCTGGTGATGGTTACCTTATGTGCCTGATTTTCCATGGCCAAACAGAATTGTTCCAAGGCAGGTGTGATGATTGACATATCAAGGGTCAGTGTTTACAATCCATGTCGAATTTTCTGGATGACCATCACCACCACCACCACCGTTTCCATTGTTTTCCTGGTGGTCTCTGGCAACTTTTGTGTGTGTGTGAACCTTGGGGATGGATGTATATTGGCATGTCCCTCTTCATCTGAGGTTCAGGGACTGGTTGGGGTTCAAGGTTCGTCACACCTCTTACCACTTTCAGGCTCTCCCCTTCGGGCTTAACTTGGCTCCCAGGACGTTATCCCGACTGACTAGCGTGGTCCTCCACGAGCCACGTCTCTTGGGAATCAAAGTCTTGGCCTACCTCATCAACTGGCTGGTTTGGGCTTCCGATACTCTACCATGCCTACAAGCCTGGGATGTTGTGTTAGTGTTGTAAGTATCTTTACTGCACACACACGTTTACACACGCTCAATACTGTATAAGCATGTTTTACTTAAAAGGGTCAGCACTGGTCATGCACTAAATCTATAAGGCAGACTGCATGGCAGACAACACACTAGAAAACGGAAAGGCTAAAATAAACGCCATTGAGTACAGAATATTCATATTATCTATAGCTTCAGTATTTACAAATTTGTTTCCAGCACCACCTGGTTTTCAATCCTAAACAAAGTAGACAAATTAGAGTGTAGGGAAATCCAGAAAATCTGTTGGCCTTGAGAGGCAGGTTGTATTTATATCCAACCACACCCACTAGCCTGAACAAACCCACAAGGGCCGTGACGAGGATTCGAACCTGCGTCCGAGAGCATCCCAGACGCTGCCTTAATCGACTGAGCTACGACATGGTCAAAAGGAGTTGAAACTGAAGTTCTACGGAACTTACTGGATCCTGCAGCCTCTCCGAGGCACAAACCAAGGTTTTACACAACTCCCCCCATGCACTCGAGCTATGTCAATAGGCCGTTCTCCCTCTTCGCCCTTACTTCATTACACTTCATTACCCACTAGCATATTTGTCTAGCCTCTACTTGAAACGGCCAGGCTCGGGGGAGTAGAACAACTCCCGAAACCCTCTCTAGGTATGCTCCAGGAGACAGTCCAGCAGCAACGTGTAAATTACATTGCCTGGCGTCCAGTTCAATCAATCAACTGCCCTATTACCAAACCACTTGTTGATAATAATCATGTTTATTCTAAATAATGTGTGTACAAAGAACATAAGAGTATTGTACAGTTGTAGGGACAGGAGTTACACATGCTAATGAAGCCACTCTTATGAAAAGTATTTCGGCCATTTTGTTACCCAGTTCTAATTGAAATTTCAACCTATGCCATTTAAATCAATTGTTTCTCTTTTATCTTGAGTTTATATATTCAGTAAACTGTTTACAGTATATTCTTCCTTAAATATTCAGTCATCCATTAGTATAATTCTGTTGTCTCGTACTCTTCATCCTTCTGAAAGAATGTAAACTAGGCTTACTTAAACTTAATCTCTCTTCATAAGAAAGGTTCTTAATGTCTGGGATTAGCTTTCCCATCCTCTTCTGGTCACATGCAGAAGAAGATGTCCATTGTATGGTATAGTACCCAAGATGTCACTGCATAATCTCAGTGGGTCCTGTTTCCCACAACACATGCCAAACTAATTGGCCGACAGTTCAGTTCAAGTGATGTATCCCCTTTTTTTAGATAGATGCCACATAATCAGTCCTCTGTGATTCCAGCATTCTGCTTGACTCTTAATGAATTATCAGGTAAGCAAGACAAAGGATGACAGAGCTCATATTTATATTGTGTAGGGAGCCAGGCGATTACTTCTCATGGCAGAGCACTTGTTTGACTTTAGTTTTATGTTTGTTTAATAACTTCGTGGCAATCACTGATCAGCTGCAGGGGAAAAATAAATATAAATATATACATACATATATATATACATATATATATATATATATATATATATATATATATATATATATATATATATGTCGTACCTAATAGCCAGAACGCACTTCTCAGCCTACTATTCAAGGCCCGATTTGCCCAATAAGCCAAGTTTTCATGAATTAATGTTTTTTCGTCTACCTAACCTACCTAACCTAACCTAACCTAGCTTTTTTTGGCTACCTAACCTAACCTTACCTATAAATATAGGTTAGGTTAGGTTAGGTAGGGTTGGTTAGGTTCGGTCATATATCTACGTTAATTTTAACTCCAATAAAAAAAAATTGACCTCATACATAGAGAAAAGGGTTGCTTTATCATTTCATAAGAAAAAAATTATAGTAAATATATTATTTCATGAAAACTTGGCTTATTAGGCAAATCGGGCCTTGAATAGTAGGCTGAGAAGTGAGTTCTGGCTACTAGGTACGACATATATATATATATATATATATATATATATATATATATATATATATATATATATATATATATATATATATATATATATTATATAATATACTGTATATATGTATTCCTCTTACATAAACACAGATGCAAACTATTTATTTAGAATACTCCCGGTGTGTTTGTCATTAAATTGTTACTTTACTGGCAGCCATTGTCTTGTGTATGTAACAGAGTACGCAGTCACCACACACCCTCTCACATGGTCATCACCCACCCACTACCATCACTTAAATCATCCACCACTTACATCATC